TAAGTGCACGCCAATTTTAGAATTAGTTGAGAAAAAGACAGACATTTTTGAATGAAATCCTAAGTGGCTTGAAGAATTAGTGAAATAAGGTAAAATGGAAGGTTCAAGGAGAAGGAGTTGCAGTAGAGGTTCTGTACCAAGGAGAGGGGGACAAATATGGTCATAAGCATCAGGGAAACGTTACACACTCTGATGAGCTCATCCAAGATCTGCAATTTGAAGACATACAAATCATAGAATCACAGAGTGGTTTGGGCTGGAAGGGACCTTCAAACTCCTCCAGTGCCACCCCCCCTGCCATCAGCAGGGACACCTTCCACTAGACCACGTTGCTCAAAGCCTCATCCAGCCTGGCCTTCAACACTTCCAGGGAGGAGCAGCCACAGCTTCTCTGGCCAACCCAGGACACTGTCTCACCACCCTCACACCAAACAATTTCTTCCTCACATCTCAGCTCCATCTCCCCTCTGACACTTTCAAGCCATCACCCCTTGTTCTCTCCCTCCCTGCCCTTGGCCAAAGTCCCTCCCCAGCCTTCCTGGAGCCCCTTCAGGTACTGGGAGGCCACTAGAAGGTCTCCCCGGAGCCTTCTCTTCTCCAGGCTGAACAGCCCCAACCCTCTCATCCTGTCCTAATAGTAGAGGTGCTCCAGCCCTTGGACCATTTGGTTTAGCTAAGTTCATCACTTCCATGTTCAATTTGGCCAACTTCAAACCCAGCCATAACTAAGAAAAGGAAGCAAAGTTTTCGGTTCGTAGCTAAAGGTGTAATATCACTCTGTTCAGTTGCACTATTACTCCTTTCCCCCCGTGCTATTCTTCCCTCCCACTGCACACACACAAATATTTAGAGCAGTAAAAAAAATTGGTAAAGATTAAGAGAAGGAAGATGACAGCATGTGTAACCAAGCCAAAGAATTCTCCTTCTGGACAAAGCCAGCCATAAATGTTTCATTGCTTTCTTGCCTCTCTTCCCAGGGCTGAAGAGATGAATGTTAAAAGCTGAGGCCACGCTATTCTGCATTTATTTCAAGCGTTAAACAAATGACTTCCAGCTGATGTAGGGTGGTAGCCCGTGGATGGGCAAGTCAAATATGCCCAACATCTGCACTGCAGCCCCCAGAAACAGCTTGCTATGTTTGTATTACAACGAACAGTGATGGAGGCTGTGAGCACACCAGCCTCTGTTTCTGATGTCTTCTTGCAGAATTTCCCCCTTTCGTGCTCTTTCACAGCCTCTTCGTTGGCCAGAACAGGGTTCCACCTCAATGTGTGATGCAATAAAGAGGACCCTGAGGCAATCACTGACGGCTGAATGCTACTCTGAAAAGTTATCACTTCACTCTTACAGTCCTACACCATCTGCTACTGACCACTCTTTGGATTTTATTTATCTATATTTCCTCTTCTTTACCAAATTATTTACAGAACAGCTTTACCAGTAAGGGTAAGTCTGTAAATACTGAGATGATACCATTTGAGCTCAGATATTCTGCAAAGCATTGCCTCTGTCTATTCAAACTGCTTTTTTAATGAACCAAAAGTGGTTTCCAAGCCTTCCTTGGGAGCCTGTTTCACAGCTGAATGGGAAGAGATGTTGGATACCTCTGAAGAAAACACAAGTCAACTAACACTCATCAGTCTTAAGACCACTCTGGAAGTGAGAGCCCCAGGACACAGGCTTTCTGCTCTGGATCTCTGTCCCGAGCTATTTTCAGTCACTCTTCACCATACTGTGCTTTTGAAAGGAAACTGATGTTTCTCCCTGGTAGTGCTGAGCTTCATCTGGTCCCTTCAAACATCTCTTTGAGATTTACTGTTTCTTTCAGATAAGCCATAACTATGTACTTAATAGTGGCACATAAGTACTACGCATCTACTTACACAAGGCTACGGGTTATATTTAACATGAACCAGCTCCCGTAGATCTTCCCACCAAGCATATGGAGGATGACACAGTTCAACTGCAAAGGGTAGTGGGAGGAAGAGACTGGTGCATCACAAGCCTTGCAGCCATCTCTGCTTGAGAAACTGCATCACACTCAAAATAACACTTTCTTTTCTTATTTGAAAGGTCCATGGAAACATTACTGGGTCAGCTGCAAAAGGATGTAGCCATTTAACCTTTGGATCTACCTGGTTTCCTGTTGATTTGGCTTGAAAACAAGATAATAACACAGTGCTGTTAGTTCAGTCTTTGGTCTGTCTCACTGATAGGCTTAAAAGAGACATCCAGTAATATTCCAGGGAGATCTTATAGCAGCCTTCCAATACCTGAAGGGGGCCTACAAGAAAGCTGGGGAAGGACTTTTCATAAGGGCAGTTAATGACAAAACAAGGGGAAGTGGGTTTAAGCTGAAAGAGGGGAGGTTTAGATGAGATATTAGGAAGAAGTTCTTCACTGTGAGGGTGGTCAGACACTGGAACAGGTTGCCCAAGGAAGTTGTCGGTGCTCCCTCCCTGGAAGTGTTGAAGGCCAGGCTGGATGAGGCTTTGAGCAACCTGGTCTAGTGGAAGGTGTCCCTGCTGCTGGCAGGGGGGTTGGAACTGGATGATCTTTAAGGTCCCTTCCAATCCAAACCATTCTATGATTCTATGATGATTCTATGATTTTCTCTGATCACTGTGTGAGAACGTTCTGGATTCCGCTCCACGTTACGCAGGAGGGTTGAGTGGGATGGGTGTGAAACTTGGACAACCCTGTATGAAGTGGATGGTGTCATTTACACACAGGAGGAACAGCCTGACAAACAAAGCAAGCTCCCAGGCTCAATGCCAACTTAATTACTCCAACAATTGAAATCCAAGAGAGTAGGTTGAGGATGGAAGGAGCAAAATGATCAGGTGGGAAGAGACTGGTCTTGACTTTCCTACAGTCTGCATGCAGGGGTATGAAGACATGCACCAAGACGCCTAGTTAATTATAATAAGATCAGTTCCTTTCACTGATACAGACTCAGATTTGGTGTGGTGTATCTGATTCAAGGACCCTGCATGCAGTGGTCTGACTGACAAAAACAAAATAAAAATGCTGGCTTGTTTTAGAAAGACTCTTTTCCTGTACTTTTTTCCCCTTTGCTTCCCCTTCCCCCTTCTCTCAAAGGGGAAGCTGGTTTGACTTGCTGGTAGATATGAAGGGTGCTATACAGAGGTTAATTCAGAGATGAGTTATTCCAGGACTGTATTCATGCACGAACTGTAGGGGAGTAACCCATTAACTACCAAAACTTCAGAGTTCAGGTAAAATTGAAGCAACTAAACATAGCATTTCATTTTTGAAGTGCTAGTGCTAACATCTGAAAAGGCTCTAACATTCCTTAGAGTTACAAAAAAATGTTAATCTCATTATTTTACAGATGAAATTGAAACCAGGGAAGGACAAGTAATTTTGCCCCAAGATCAAAGAGAAGAGTTGGAGACAGGGAAGGAATTCCTGGCTTCATGGCTCAAGCACCCATTTCTGCCTGCCTCCCTCAACTGCTGGCATGTCTGCAAATGCAGATCTCCAAGACAGATGAGTTCTTATGACATTTCAAATACTGGAAATAACATAAAACAACAACTTCCCTCCTGCTGGTTTGCCATTCCTAGTCATCAAGGGACTTTAAAAAACGATCTGTTTCAAGATCTTTATTCAAGCTTGGGTTAAATAAAATGAGTAAATGTTATAACACAGGATTGAGGTATCTGTATTTTATCATCAAATCATCATCCTAAACCATTCAGGTGCTGGAGCGTGTCCAGAGAAGGGCAACGGAGCTGGGGAAGGGTCTGGAGCACAAGTGTGCTGAGTTCCCTTGTGGCTGAGGGAACTGGGGGTGTTGAGCCTGGAGAAAAGGAGGCTGAGGGGAGACCTTGTGTCTCTGTGCAAGTCCCTTGGAGGAGGGTGGAGAGAGGTGGGGGTGGGTCTGTTCAACCAAGGCCCAAGGGACAGGACAAGAGGAAATGGGCTGAAGTTGTGGCCAGGGCAGTTGAGATGGGATGTGAGGAAGAATTTCTTTGCTGCAAGGGTTCTGAGGCATTGGAAGGGGTTGCCCAGGGCAGTGGTGGAGTCCCCATCCCTGGAGGGATTGAAGAGTCGTGTAGACATAGTGCTGAGGGACATGGGTTAGTCATAGGGGACTTGTCAGTGTTGGGTTCATGGTTGGACTCGATGATCTTAAAGGTGTTTTTGAAGCAAAACAATTCTATGGTCCTATGATATGTTACCAGCTACACTGTTCTGGACGAGTAGTGTGAGCCTGTAAAGGGGAGCTAATAGCACCACACTCCACAGAGGAGCATTAAGTCTTCATTACTCCTTGTGTAAAGCTCTGGAAACACACCCAAGGAAGAAGTGATATCACTGTAGTCTGTTCACTTGTCCTGAATGTGAAAGAGAGATCGACACAGGGCAAGAAGAGAACAACTTCTCCTTCTAGGTAAAATCTGAATTAACATGGTCATCCCCTTAACCTTAAATCTGATTCTCATTAATCGTGACTCAAAAGGTAAGTGACTGAAAAACTTCAAACTATCATAATCTGACTCCTGGATGTAGTGCTACCAGCTAGAGCTATGTCTCCTGACTATTCATGTATATTTTATAATATAGTTCAATATTATCTCTCTCTCTCTCTCTCTCTCTCTCCATACATAGAGATGCAGATACACATCTATTTGCCGCACTCAACAAACAATTTAAGAATTTTAAGGAAAATTGTTTTCATTTTCAGATAAGAACTTCAGGCTTATTATAATGCTGTAAAATAAAATCTGCTAGCACAAGCCACCAAAAAAAAATAAGAAAGAAGAAAAAAAGAAAAAGTGATTCACTGGGGAAGTTCCATGATGTGCGGGACAATGGGTCTTAAATCAAAGGCATACATTATCATGACTAAGCTGACAGATCCGCACTGCAATGCAGAAAGCCAAGCAATATTCCAACATCTGCACCGTGCACAGATAGGCAGTTAGACACACAATTTCCCAAAATGAAGAAAGGACTCTCCGAGCTCTTACCTGTTACCTGTGCAACAACTGCTTGGGAAATTCTCCGATTGGCTAGGAAGGCTTTGATTTCCTCCTTTATCACACTGCTGTCCCTCCTACCAAAACAAAACAAATACAATAAAAAACCACACAAAAAGAGGGACAGACCAAAGTGTACTTTGAAGATGCAAAAATGGCTTTATTTCCTTCATTTAGGGGACAAGGAGTGGGGAAGGCAAGCATTAGTCTAGTCAAAGTGCCTCAGCAGTGGACACTTCTTTTAACAAGTGTCACGTTTGATCAAAGTACTCTAGCAGCAGAATGGATGACTCATGTCCTATATAATTCATATTAGGTGCAGCACTGCCATATGGAATGTACAAAGTTTCATTACACAGGGATAAATAAATCTCTCATACCAGCATAAAAACCTCAAGTCATAAAAAATGAGGCACAAAAATAAAAAATAAAGGATAGCAGAGCCTGCATGGTTAGCTACACAAAGGAATATCCGTACACAAACCTTCTCCAACCTTTCAAGGAAAAGACCCAAAGGAGAAAAGATTTTGCAATCTCTATCCCCTGACTCCTACTTCCTTAGTCCACAGCTTGCACTGAATGAACAAGTGCCAGTTTTTAAAACCTTTGTATGATATTTTTTTTCCAAGGTATGCAAAGATAGCTCAGAAGGGACTAAAACTGTGCGAAAAAGTAAATAATTTGAAGGTTGCACAGGGACTGTGATATGCAGCTAATTTCAACTGCAGTAAAAACATACTTTTCCCTCCTCTTCCTCCCTCCCTGAGAAGGGCAGACAATTAAAACTAAGCTTTATTAGGTTTTTTTATTCGTTAATTTCCCTTCCCCTTCTCCCCTCCTTCACCCCAACAGTGTTCAAGGCAGATTCAAGCTTGCAAATGTAAATGCAAAATAAATGCTACGTCGTGGGTTCATCTTTATTTCTGTACCCACCACTCAGCCTCCATATGCCTGCAAATAAAAGTAGTTTCCTTTGAAATAAGCACTAAAAGCATTACCTGAGACTTATTGCACAGGAACCCAAAACTCAAAGGAATGATTAAACTTCAGCAATGGGAACTCCTGCATACTGCTACGCTCACCACCTTCCTGCATTATTCCATCATCCTCCAGCCGACAGTAAATGAGGTTGATCGGCTTTTCTTACCGCTCGTCTCTAATCCTCTCCCGTAAAAGCCACAGTTTTACTCTAAATCTCCAAACTATTTCAAGTGTATTTTCATCCTGGAGCTTATGGACCCTAGTTCTCTCATAGGTACTTCATAAATGTTGCCATTTTTTGGGGAAAAAAAGGCATTGTAACATTAAGATCAAAATTGTTTTGAGACATTTGGCCTTTCCTCTTATTTCTTTTTGCTATCAAGCCCACTGACTCTGACTTTCATCCTCAGTGGTATAATCCTCTCCTTTCATCTTTGCTATAAAAGAAGTTGCTAAAAGTAAAGGAAGGTCACTCTGGAAAAAAAAAAACAACCAACCAACCACCCAACTGGCTCTCACTGGAGACTTCTGTTTCTTCTTTATTATTTGTATTTTCCTACACCGATCTGCAGACTGTGCAAACCCCAGAGAGAGTCATCCCCTGCCACAAACTATAAAGAGAGAACATCCATGCTCTGCAGATCCCAGTGGAAAGCATTAACCAGATTCCCTACTCCCTATATGGAAGGAAATACAACTGGTATGAAGGAGTGGAGGAGGAGTCAGGGGAATGGATACTCAGTCAGAAGTCTTCTGAGTAAGAGTAGGGTGGAAAATTAGTGAGTTAATATTAACTTCAGTTTTTGGTCCAGCAAGGGAAAAAATATTTCAATAGTAAAACAGACTGTGGGATACCCACACACGGCCAGGGGTTGTCTACACAAGACTAAGAGACAGGTGAGAGGTCCTGAGATAGTTGTCATTAGGGACCTAGCAGGGGAAGAGCTGTCTAAAGCAGAACCTGCTTTCTTGGTAATACCTATCACCACTACAGAAGTCCTCCAACATGCAGATTTCTTCACTCTGACTTTTCAAACTTTTTACAAAGACTTCTACAAACCTCATCAGTTCCTCCACTTTGTCATCAATGTCCAAGTCCTCTTCAGAAGCTTCAAAACTGTATGACCTTTGAGCCAAGCTGTTTGCAAGTGGGTAGCGGGTAGGTGACATCTTCCCATTGAATGCAGACAACCTCTCGTTACTCTCCCTCCCGTTCTGATTAGTAGTGCAAGGCTGTGGGGAGGTGTCGTAACTGTTGCTCGGTGATGGGGACATCCCAGAATGCTGGGTCTGTGTTGAAGCCGTGGCTGTAGAGGAAGATGCTGGGACATTGTTGGTACTGTTGCTGTAGGAACTACCTCCGTAGCTAGACCTTCTTCCAAATTTGTCACTATGCTCTTGATCAAGACGATCCAAGGTTTCCAGCGCGTGGAGGATTTCATGTCTGGTCATTCCCGTCCGTCTCAGGCGCTGAAGCAGGTCTATCTGCTCTATGGTAAATCTTGGTTCGTCTGTGTAGTGAGACATGGTTTCCAGCAGACTAAAAACAAGGTAAAATGTAAAAAAAAAAATAATTCAGTTCAATAGTTCTCTGTGGTACATGGAAAGTACCTTATATGCAGGAAAGATCAATTCTGGTCCAAAACTTTGAGTCACACACATGATGGCCCAACAGTCCACCTCCAAACAAGCTCAGCAGGCAACATCCCATGAACGCCAGTATCACTACGTAGCACAGTAGTGATTTATTTTGAGGTGCTCAAATAGCATTTCTCTCTTCTACCAGCACTCCCTGCACCTTCCACAATAAACCTGCAGTTAGTACCCTTTTGCTTTTGATAAACCATTACAGTGGTTGCCCAGTAATTAAGGTTGTGACTTGATTTCAGACAAAATTTTACCCATTGTACCCATCAGACAGCAATCCCAGATTCCAAACCTGTTAGGTTGAGGCCAGAGCCTGAGTTTTCTCTGGAGAAGTTTTAACCAGTTATGATCTGAGATTCAGGAATCTCAACTCTTACGAATCTTAAGTGTGAAGAGTTCAAGTTGCTCTAACTTTCTGTTGCTACCTTGAAAAAAAAGAAGATAAAAACACATCTAGCAGAAATTCTACTGGCCTGTAGGACCAAAGTTGATTTGACTGAAGTCCCATTTCTGAAGTTAGTAACTTTTGAACCTGGAATGTTGTCACAGATTGCCTGCCCTAACAAGGAAAGTGCAGCACATCCAATTACTACTGAGCTTTCATTTAAAGAAATAAGTCTGCAGCCTCTTCCCCTCCAAAGGCAGGCTTCCCATGGAACTCAATCATCATGGTGGCTCATCAAAAGCATTTTTAACTCCTAAACTTCCCAAGGTGCCAGAACAATGACCATGTATTTGCTACAAAGCCCAGAAATCTACAGCCACAAAGATGATGAGGGGCCTGGAGCATCTCCCATATGAGGAGAGGCTGAGAGAGCTGGGACTGTTCAGCCTGGAGAAGAGCAACTGAGAGGGGATCTGATCAATGGCTACAAACACCTGAAATGTGGGGGCCAAATGGATGGGGTCGGGCTCTTCTTGGTGATGCCCAGTGACAGGACAAGGGGCAATGGGCACAAACTGGAACAGTGGAAGCTCCAGACAAACTGAAGGAAAAACTTCTTTCCTGTGAGGGTGCCAGAGCCCTGGGACAGGCTGCCCAGAGAGGGTGTGGAGTCTCCATCTCTGGAGATGTTCAAAACCCACCTGGACACTTTCCGGAACCTGCTTTGTCAGGGGGGTTGGACTAGATGATCTCCTGATGTCCCTTCCAACCCCCACCAGTCTGTGATTGTGTGAAATGGAACTAAAAAAATCACAATGTGCTCCCTTAATTTCTTTTTCTTCCCAAGTCTCCTCACGACAGATCCAAATGGCATACAAATGACAAGATCACCTCCTTCAGAACTCAAGATCTTGAGAAGTGATGGCAGATGGAGGGCAGACAGAACTTGGCAAAGAGATCAAGGCATTTTCCATCCTTCTTGTGAATCTTATGAGTCAAGGGTTTATTACAATTCCTGCAGGAGAGCAGGGTGAAGAGATCACTCAAACTCCAGGAGACATGACAGAGCTAATGTACAATCTCTACAAGCAAGAGCTGGCAAACAGCAGCCTCAGGAAAGTCAAGTAAGAATTCCAAGGACCCAATGAAAACCAGAAGAGGGATGATGGCTCTCACAGTTATGCTAGACCTTTCCAGAGACAGGGCTGCCTATTTCTCTCCAAAAAATTTTGAAGATCACTCCTCATTTCCATTTCTGCACTGGCACACAGAAGTCCCCAGGAGTGACTAAACTTTTTCAATTGCTGCATTTAGTCTTTGGATTTTTTTTTTCAGATACACAAATCATAGTAAACCAAGCCCAAAGGTTCTGGTGGTGTAGGAAGGGAATCAGGAGTAACACAGACCTGACCAGGTAATGGGAACAGGTCTATCCTTGAGGCACAGGGTACAGCCACATCAATACTAGTAAATTAAATAGTGCCCAGGAAAAGCCACTGTAGCATCTACACACAGTCATCTGCAGCATTATTAAATCACTGTGACTGTCTTCGGCACAGTTTTGGTCAACCAGTGCACTCCTGATCCAATCTGTAGGCTTTTTTCAAGGTTTTGCATGGAGCAGAAACCATAAACCCTCTTGTTTGGATGCAGCCACTCAGCTCAGACTACCTGGTAGTATGGATGTGGCCAAGTGGCCCTGGAGCTGAAGAACAGCACTGAGAACTGGCTTGCTTAGCAGAGCTGTAGCTAGAGTGTAGCCATACAGACGGGGTGCTCCAAAGCCAAGATGTGTGAATCCACAGAAATGGCATGTGAAGCCTGGAAAATATAGAAATGAGAAGAAGCTCCTAGAGCTCATAGAGCAACTGCTGAGTTCCCTTCATTGTTTCAACAGTGTACGTGGGAGAAGGAAGCAGGAGGACAACGCAAGGGGATGATTCCCATCCAAGAAAATGACTATGTGAGAAGATAGACGGACTAGAGGCATCTAAGTGCTTCAGTCCAACAGGAATGTGCTGTCCTCTGGACAATTGATTACTGAGAACGTACGAGCCATTTTAAATGTTAAAAGACAAACACCCAGATTATTCTACTAAAAGGAGGGCACAGCAGCCAATGCAGCAGTAGACTAGCAACTGACTGGAATCGTAACAACTCATATTTGGAAGTCGCATCTCAGACTGAGACATTCCAAGGTTGACAAGGAGCATTTGGAAACAGACACCGTGTTCTAGGTTTGACCTGTGAGCTGGGGGAGTCAGAGCTGCTCAATCCTTTTCTCCAAGCTTTATGAGAAGTATCACACTGACTTACTGACTCACGTCACAAACTCTTGGACAGCCCGAAAGCCCCTTCTGTCAGTTCTGAGTAGCATGGTTTTCAAATAGAAAATCTCTTCTCAAACATCTGGCCTTGAGATGCTTTTCAGTGGATATGTCAGCTTGCCTTTCCTTAGACATAAACCCATTTTTGTCATTTCTTACCTGTATTTCTCATGTCACCGTTTCCTGGATCATTTATCTGTCAACACCAAGCTTATGTGCTCAAGTACTTGTTGAACTGAAGGATTTAATGAACCAGAACCTCCACCCAGAATTACCTCTACTCAAAATTCCTACTTTACTGACTCTTCAATGTTTAACACCAAAACACACTTTGAGATTACCTAGTTTAATCTCCAGTTTGTCACAGACAACTGGTTAAACTAGATAACCCACAGAAACCCACAACTTTTGTCCTTATAGCTCTGGAAACTGAAAAACTCAACATTTGACAAAAGCATGACTTTCCAGATGGCTTAAAAAAGGTCAAGTAACAGAATTTACAATTTCCTGCAGCAGTTTGTTGCCCTGGCCAGTCATTCCCTTGAAAATTTGCGTGTGATCCCTAATTTGTCTAAAATGTCACAGCTGAGTTTCCAGATCTGGTCTCTCAGACCACATTAATATCCTTTAGTGAATCTTAAGTATCCTTTAGTGAGTTACTAGTGAATTACACATTGTGTTGGGATTAGGGGGGGGCTGGAGCCGTATGGTCTTGTTCACTATTATTATGCCATGTTCTTTTTCGTCACTCACAAGCCAGAACTCGGGAGCTAGAGCCAGAACTCAGGAGCTAGAGCTTTCCCAGCGATATTTAGAAGGTCCTGTGTTGGGTTTGGGGAGGTCAGTTTTGGTAGTGGGGGAAGGGGAAGCTTCGCCAAAGCTACAACAAAAGACGACCATCGACTTAAACAAAGAGAGAGCTTCTTTACCAGGAGGGAGGAGGAGGATTGGGAGGACAGAGAACCTCAGACACCCAGTTCAACCGCATGGAGTAGCAGAGGGCAAAGGAGGTCTCTGCAGCCCATGGAGGTTCAACAGTGGAGCAGAGACCCACGTGTGGGCCATGGAGGACTCCATGCTGGAGCAGAGAAGTTGAGCCTGAGGGCAAGTGTGACTGGAATTGAGACCCCGAGAGTCGCTCAATGTCAGAGCAGGGGTGGACCCCCAGACTGGGGGGGTGAGTCTGCAGCCCGTGGATATCCCCATGCTGGAGGTAGGAGCTGAGCCTGAAGAGGACCATGACTCTATGGTAAGCTCGTGTTGGAACATCTTGTTCCTGGACTTCCATGCTGGGAAGGGCGGCAGGGGTGAACTG